GCAGGCACTGCTTCAGGGAGAGGCAAGCCGCCCGGTTGGGGTCAAGTCAGCAGGTTGTACCTGGGCGGCCTGCCGGCGGGCACAAAGGAGAAGGCGCCGAAGCGGCGTTTTTTGGGTTTTTTGGGGCCCAAAACGCGGGGATGGTGAGTTCCGTGCACACCGGTTGAGCCGAGCAGATGAAGCGTCGGACATCAAAAAAACCGGGAACTCGTGGAAAGCCGTCGACTTGGACCAGGTTGCGGGAAATGAGGGGTCAGTTGCTATCGTACTTGGGAACTCCCGCTTCCAAAAATAGTCATTCGGAAGGCCTCGCAGAAGTGGGCAATTCCCACAACCCTGCCTCAGACACTTTGCAGCAGGATATCCGCAACCAGTTCTACGTTTTTGGCGAGCGCGGCGGCTCAGTCATTGCGCGAGCTGCTGGCAAAAGGGCTCTTGGTGGGCACTATGTCAGCATATGGGTGTGTGTTTTTTGAGGGTACCCTTTTCACTCAGTTGGAAGGGAAGCAAAAGGGCATCCGCCATGTTTTGGGGTGGCGCCGCTATTTTGACGGTTTGATTGTTCACTCGGTCATGTTCTCCAACCGTAAGTAAGTATATCAATCAGAGGGCTGCCCTTGAAACACGTGAGTTCCGAGGTACAAGAACATCTTGATTTGTGCTAAAACGTAGATTACTCAGCTACAGGAGGGAGTCCGTCAACAGTTCAAACTGCTACTTTGCTGAGACTCGATGACCCAGTGGTTTGGGCTTTGTGAGCAACCACATCGGGATTCTACGAAAGCGTGGAGTTTTTACAATAGGTATGACGGGTATGAATGAACACCCACTGCAAAAAGTCTGTCGGAGGAGGCTCGGACCGAGGATTTGGTCGCACTGGGTTCAAAAGAGACAAACGCCGGATGCAAACACTCACTTGTTTGGTTTTAGGCAGTAGTACGGACATTGGTGGCTTTTTGGGCTGCAAGCACTGTGGAGGAGGTCAGGGCAAGTCAGCACCAGAGGTTTCAACATGTTGCGCTGGATACTTCTAACTCCCCTTATATTCAGATTCAGGCGATTCGAAACCTGGCCCCAATTTACACTCGCGGAGGCGGCGGGTGGCTGGTTGGTGGACTTGATTGCTCGGGACGCGTGCGCGTAACGGAGCCAAGACAAACCCAGACACCGATTTTTTAGCAGCGCTGAAGCTTGACTGCTTTTGGCATTTCTTTGATGCTTCATGACAACCTAACGACGTCAGTAGCTTGCAAAAGACGCAACCAGTACCTTGGGCGACGTTGAGCACAAAGCTTGGTGCTTCCAGCACAGTAAAGTATGAATCTTGGCTTCACTTTTGTTCTCCACACTAGGGGCTTCACCGCCACGGGCCCCATCTCATTTCGATAATTCGCCCTGGAGCAGCTTTTGGGGTTCCATGCAAGTCTGAAAGGGAGCAGAGGCCTTCTTTCAGGACCCGCTTCGCTGGTCCAATTTTGTGCTGCCCAAAGGAGGGGCGATTTGGATGCAAGAAGGCTCACGCCCACAGAACCTTCGGGGCCTATGATCCTACCCTAAGCCGCCTCAAGCGGTATGCTTCCTCTGAAAACACAACCAGAATTAAGAACCCGGCCTGGTCGCTGGGGGCAGATGCTTAGTATGACTTGCGGATGATGTCATTTTCATGAAAGGTATCGGGTACAGGAAATTCTACAGGAAAACAGCTGATTTCGGGTGTTTTGAGGCAATGTCCTGTAGATTTTCCTGTAACCAAACCCTCTGATTTCAGTTTGCCTTTCGTTGGGACGGCGTTGATCGGCGATCCCAGCGCGCGCGCCCCGAGGATTCGCAGCATCCGCATGGCGCCAAAGCAGAGCTGCGCCTTCGTCACCTTCGTGAAGCGAGAGGCGCACTCCTCGTCTTCGCGAGAGAACGAGGGAAACTCGTCGCAGGGGGCGGTGGACGTGTCCTTTTTTTTTTGGGCGTGCTTTTTTCTTTTGGTGGGTTCAACAACAGCTTTTGGGCATGTTTAAGGTTTGTTTGCTTTTGGTATGATGTTTAAGGGGGAAAGTGTAAGGAACCCGGTGGAAGCAGAGAGACGAGGGAAGGTGTTGTAGGACGATTGGGAAAGATGTGGGATGATGCTTTCAGGCATTTAGTGTGGGTTTCAGTGTTGTTGAAATAGATGGATTCCACTGCTTACACTTTGGGTCTGATCATCCAGTGCCATTTTCTTTTCCAAAGCAGGGGGATTTTTTTCCGTCCGCATCCCTTTGGAGAATGAGTTGATGTAAACAACAACAGGCAGTTCGCCAGACCATGAGAAATTCCCTGTGCTAGTTCTAGAACGGGCCGGAGTGGCATCACAGGGTTCATCCGCGGGGAAGAGGAGCAGAGTTGGAGCTGTGACAGACTGGGCTGATGTGCCAGGGATGGGTTGGCTGTCAGTCCCAAACCCGGTAGGCGCAGAATGCTAACAGCTCAATGACCTTGAGATGCAAGTGCTGGAATCACGATTGAAGAGCAAGAGGCATAGGGACAGACGGCAAGGCGCATCAACAGATCTGTCGCAACGGCGCTGCTCGCCGAAGCTGTCTCAATTGGCAGTGCCGAGCGGCCACAAGGTTGTTCAACAATTTCAGATGCGACAATTAACATGTGGGTATGCTTTAAAACCAGGGACCCTCCAAGTTGGTTGCTGTCAGGTTGCCATCATGTCGGCTACCTTGCAAACCGTCTCTCTAGTTTTGAAAGACGCCACAGAGCCATCCAACTCTTGCTGGGTTCACCAACATCAACATTTTCGGGGCTTGGAGCATCACCAACCCCTGTGGGCTATGTGATCAGCTCTGATAGTATTACAAGGCCCGTTGCTTCTGGGTGGGGCCGTGTCTGAAACATTACTTCTAGGTCATTCAGACAACCACTCACTGGAAGGTAGCCCAGTGGAGTTTGAACCACAGGAGAAGGAAGGGTTGCGAAATAATGTTTGTTGCTTTGAAGCCTGTTTGGTGGTTTGCTTTGGTGCCACCTTTTTGAGAGGTCAGAAAGGACTCAGTCAGATCCTGTTTGCCAACCCCTTTGGCTGCACAGATGTATGGGAGCATTAGCCAGCCGGGGCTGCAGAGGATGCAGAGGTGTCTGACAGAACTGGAAATGGATCCCCTTAAGCCCAAAAATCAGTTTGAGTCCCGCAACGCCATTCGTCTCCATGCCCGAGACTCGGTGACTTACTACTTCGGCCCTTCTGTGCCTTTCCGCCAGGTGGCAGAGCAAGCTGCGATGAACACCCACAAGATCCTGAAGATCAACGCCCGGGGCACAGCACGGAAGTGCCGTGGTGACTTCGTTTGTCGGTAGATGGGATGCTCTGATGAAAGGGCGGAAGATGAGGGTAGCCGGCGGATCTAGTGGCACTGCCTTCAATGGACAGTTGATCCCTCAAGAATCAATGCTTACTGCTTGCCGCTTGATGGAAGGTCCATTTACCACCAGATTTGAAAACATTCGGGGTGGATGGGGGAGCGAGATTTCGGAGCCCGTGGTCTTCCATTCTTTTTGGCATACTCGTGTTGTATTGGGTCTTTGACTTCGTTCCTTGTTAGTTGGTGGCTGCAAAAAACAAAGTCGGGGAGAGGTAGACCCCTCTGGTCAACTGCAAGTGAATGCCCGGCTTCGGTTTCCGACCATCAGGTAGGTGTTTGGCGAGATTTCAACTCCGCTGAAATGCACACGGATCCGCTTGAACAGAGACGTTTTCGGTCCGTGTTTTCGGGTGCCTTCAGCTCGTTTGCAAAGGTCAGGCGGCCTACCAGCGCTCCCTTGGTTTCATGCCCTTGTTGGAATAGCCCTTTGGCACTTTGGCAAGTGCACAAGTGACCCGCACTGAAACTGGCTCGGCCTAGTCGCCTCACCCCAAAGGTCGAGTCTGGTCTATCTCGGAACACCTTGACATGGCTACCTTGCTTTTGCAACCTCTCCTTGATCGAGGGAGTTGTGGGAAGACAGTGTCTGTGTTCCTCACAGCCAGCAACGGGAAGATCTGCCGGAAGCTGAATCACCCCCGAAAAGCATGTGATTTGGCAAACTTCCCGTAGATGGTCCTGTCAGTTAACTCCCTGGTGTACTGGTCTGTTTATTGGGCGTCCCCCACGTCCCCCACGTCCCGCACATCCCGCGCGTCCCGTCCCCACGTCCCCCACGTCCCCCACGTCCCCCACGTCCCCCACGTCCCGCACGTCCCGCGCGTCCCGCGCGTGTCCCACACCTCCACGTCCCTCACGTATGTCACGTCTAGCGCGCGCGTGTGCTTTCGCCTCATTGTTCTTGACTCCTACAGGCTTGGATGCTTTACATTATTACGTGTTTCATCTTCTTGTCTTTCTGCCAGGGTTAAATGCTTGCATGCTTGACATGTCTCACCATGTAGTGTGTGCTAACTTTTCTGAGCCAGACGCAACACACCCACCTGCACACTTAAAGCCCCAAAGAGGGGTGAATAGATCCAAGTTCGACTAATGGCGCACTCAGCTTCATTCTACTTTAAACCGGAGAAACCAAGAAGATACCGCAGTTAAGGGAAGGGGACCAAAAGGACTTTGCGCAGTCTGCAGGTGCGTTCTGAGGACGTTTCCCGCGAGTATCCGTGAACAGAGCCGCTTCTTTGGGCAGTCGCTCTGGCAGGTTGCGGGGGCAACCTGCGACAAAAGGTAGGTTAGGTCTGGACCTCGACAAACGCAAGCTCCCGAAGGGGAGCAAACCGGGCAGTTCGGTCTCGGGCAAAGCCCCAACCGAGAAACAAGAGTCGGGGAACCAGAAAAAAGCAGGCTCTGAGGGCAAAAACCCGAAACAAGTCAGATAAACCTAAACTTTCGAGCCGAGGATCGCCGCGAAGGCCACTGGTGGAAGATGAAGAAGCCATCCCTCCAAAGGGCGTGTCGGAGGAAGATGGATAAGAGAAAGGTGAAGTCGAGGTACAAAGATGATGGCAAAATGACAGACAGCTAGAAGATCAGGGAGCC